TTCCTTCTACATCCTTTCGTATTTCAGTTAAAAGTCCGCTGAGCCTGTGAAATCTCTAATATGAAAAATATTCAAAGATTAGGGTCTGTTTTGGTCCAATTTTAGCCATCTATGAATTAAATATCTACTTKAAGTTAGCTGGCTCCTTACACTGCCACTGAACAGTTACTTAGCTGTCCTATATGGGYTGAAGTGCATTCCTAGGTAAGCAGCTCAGGCCCCATGTTAACATCAAGTAACCTAAGATAAAGGAGGACAAACAGCAGTATGAGCTTGCAATTTTATAAAAAGGGAAATAATATATATGTTCACCATTATTATATATCATTTTAAATAAAACTAAAAAAAGATCAAAGCAGTATGGTCAAGAGTAGTACAAAAAAAAAACCCTGGGCATGTCCTGAAATAGAAGTTAGACAACATTTCTTTTATACTGAAGTTTAAATACTTAATTAGAATTTCATGCAACTAACAAAACATTATTTTATGCATTATTTTGCTAATTGTTTTTGCTTTCAATGCTAGTTACAAAAATAATATTACCTTATAATGCCCTCTTCGCTAATAATTATTACTAAACCTGTAGCTGACACACAACAATGTCAGGTCATATTAAATGCTGGAAGTTGATTTTTTTCCTCCACTTTTACATGTGTTTCCTCCCTGTAATTCACTACAATAAATGACACTTGCGCCTCGGGAGAAACAGAGCATCCACAATGAAATATATAAATAAAAGCCCTGCTGGTTTCTAAACCTGAAGGAATCTTTCAGCATTGCAGCCTGTTTCACAATGTCTCTTACAGCAAGGAACATTAGAGCTTTTCCTAAAAAAGGAATCAGACAGCCCCCAATCTCCATCTTTTTTCTTCCTCCTCCTCATTTCAGATTTCTTCCTCCTTTACTTCATCCCTGACTGCATTCTTGGCATGACCTSATCCAAATACCATGGGAGAGCATTAAGAAATACATTCAATTTGTTATGAAAAGATAAATTGCAAAGAAAGAGGCGTTTACATAGCTCAAGGCTAACAAAACAGCATGGAAATATAAACAAAGAACAGTTGTCCTTAAGCCTTGCCTATACTACTCACCACCCCCCGATACTGCTACATATTTGAATAACAAGAACTTTGCTGTTTTACTGTCATTTGACAGTATCTTCCTTTACTGCTCTGTATAAAAGCCCTCAAAATCATGAAAATCGAATTACACACCAGACACTGATGATCTACTTTAGGCCTGCTCATGAGCACTTGATTGCTATTGATTTTTTAATTTTTGTTTGGAAAAACACTGAAGCCTAAATTCACTTTAAAGCAACATGTACTCGCAGCCTTTGCAGAAAGGGAGGAAAAGAGCAGGTCAAAGAACCTCCCTAGTGACCTTTGCCAGCAACACATTGTGGACAAACTACAGAAATGCAGAATCCACAAATCACAGCTGCAAAAATACCGACCTCTTTGCCCTAATGAACANAAAAAAAAAAAAAAAAAAAAAAAAAAAAAAGATTACATGCATTAAATTTATTGAAAAACAGTGTAAAAATTAGAAAATGATGTGGGCAGAAGAACTGACATTTCGCCAAATGGAATTTAAAATATAACTCACAAGTTCTACAAAGTCCTCAACAAAGCAGTAGAAGAAAGAATAAACCCAGCTCAACAACAGATACAACAAAAATAAGTATTTTTGCTTTCTGTGAGGGTTCTTGAAATACCATTTTCCTTTGCCTCGTTGCCGGCTCTACCTTTCTAATGATGTTTGTAAGACTTGGACAAGCGCCCCCAAAAACGGCTAAGGAACATCCAGGTTACAGGGTGGTCAAATTACTGCTAATTAGAGAAAAAAGCAGGTCCGTGCTGCACGGTGAGCGTGCTGGAGGAAGCCTTTCCTGGCGTGGGGCTCTCAAAGCTCCCGTTTGCTGGAGCCCAGCTTGGTGCAACAGGTCGGAGGGGGCAGCTGGGCCACATCCACGGTGGCCACGTCCCCTCCTCAGGCCACCACGCTGGGCTTTGTCACCGACACATGCAGGGGATGCGGAGCGACACTAACCACTCAGGAATTTACAGCTTGGAAGATGCTGTTTAGTTGTGTCTGTCTAATGAAACACCTCCCAAAACCCAATATATCAGTATCTTGGTCCCCACAGCGAGCAATTAAAGTTTTTCTGGTGGAGAGGTGAGGGGAAGGATGAACCTATAAAGGAAAACATCTCAGATCTTTATTAACTAACATTCTGAGACTGAAAGCATCTTACAGGRTGCTCAACACAAGGCTTCATCTTGTTTTCTTGCTAATGTTTCCTAAAAGCCTCTCAAAATCATACCCACGAACCACCCTAGGAGAACCCTGAAGCATCTCCAACACGCTGCGTCTCCACAGCAGCCAAACCACCCATTATAGCTCCATTTCCTTATATCATTTTTTCTCTTTTGCTATCCTAGGATAGAATAGCACCGAACTTGCCTAATGAGCAGGAGAACCTACAGACCCCAAGAGACTCTTTTAGGGGAAGGAAGAGAGCAGGGGGGACATGATGGGCTGCTCCCTCCTTCCTCCCTGCTCCTGCTCCGCCGTTTCTCCGTGCAGGAGGCACCTCCTCTCGYCTGCCCTCCCTGCATGCGAGCGCTGTCTGGCAGCCTCCGCGCGTGCGGAACAAGCCATGGACCCACCTGCACTTCTCCCTGGTATTCCAGGGAACACGAGCTTCGTAGGAAGCCCAACCTCCATAAGCGACGGCAAAAGCTAATCATAATCATAATGCATGAATCTGCACTAGTACTTGTCAAAAACACGTATATTTTTGTGTGTGTGCGTGTCTGCGTGCGCTATGAATGCACTGCAATCTCTCTACACAGCACAGAGATTTCTGCAGTTCAGACACTCAATACAACTCTTTTTTCTTTCAAAAAATTAAATATAGTAATTTTGAAAGGGCCTTGTATGAAACTGAAAGCTAGCAGAATAGGCAGCACTGTTTCATAACAGCTTGCAAAAAAAAAAATCGGTCTATTTTTAGGGATGGAGAAAGAATGTGGCTATTAAAAAAAACAGCTAATATATAGAGTTGTTTTTATTTATAACTGATCATATAATATTGCACAGCTGATTTGTCAAATCCATCTGTAAATGTATAGTACCACACATTTAAATCCCTCAAAAGAGATAGGTTTGTATGTATGAACAATGTTCACATTTTAATCTCTGCTGCATTATTTCCTGTATACTATTTGTACATCAAGCCGCTGCAAAATCCTGCTTTGTAAAAAATGACATTTAAATATAACTCAGACAAATGGATCTGTTGAGGCCTATAAACCTTCACAGGGACACATTCGTCTTGGACAACCACGAGTTTAACTGCAGGCATGTTCTGCTCAAGAATGCACTGGTGAGTGCTAGGGTGCTGCAAAACATTCAGAWTGGTTTAAAAAAAAAAATAAAAAAAGGAATCTCCCTTGAATCCGAATCCCCTCCCTCAGGAATGTCAACTCTAATGAAAGTCTTCCCAAAAATCGAGTTAACACCTGTTTCCTTTACTGTTTTCACCCCATCACCCTCTCTGTTATCCTCACCATTTTATTAGYTTTGCATTTAAAAATTTTAAGGCATCAGGGTGAGACAGAGGTAAGCAAATAAACATTAACGTTTGCTCCCACAAATCCTGATTTGGAATAAATAAATCAATAAAATAAATCTCCAAGCTGTTATCTCTCTCCATTTTAGAAGGGTGACTTAACAACTCACTCCCCCCACCATTTTATCTCCCATTGCTGGTATTTTTCTCTACTCTAGTTACTGAGAGGCAATATGGTTTGCTGCTATCTACCACAAATACACTTCAATTTGAACTGCTCATTTTGATTTTTTAAACCATTCAAGCCACAYAGGCTTGCTCATTTTGAAAGATTTGTCTTTTATCCTGTTTTCTTAAGATAGCTTTCCATGCATTATCATGCCTTAGTATGTTGAGCCATTCAATAATATACTTTAGATAATTTCTCCTGAACACAGTCTAAATGCATTAAATTAATAACTATTTTTCAAYGATGCCAGTATTAAAAAGGCAAAAATGTAACATTAGATGGCCTTTCGTGCACAGCTGAAATGATTAATGCAAATAATTTGATACAAATTGATATTATGTTGATCTGGACTTAAGCAATCTCACTAATGACAATTCTGTTACAAATGAGCCTCAGGCAAAACGGGAGCGAACAGGCTCGATCTTTTAGAAACAATAAAATAGTCACTTGGAGATTATTTCATGTCAGAAAACTTGCTGTGTGTTTAGTACCTCAAAATGTTTCCTTAAAATGAAACAGCTATTTAAAATCATTCTAATCTGATTGACAGATAAAATAATTGCTTTAAAAACACTTCTGAGTCATTTTGTCCTTACCTGCAGGCATGAACCATTACTGCATGCAGTGACTGCTCCATTTCCTAGCACAGACTTGAACAAGGATCACATCTATCTTACAGAATGTGACTAATTTGAGGATTTGCGATTCCTGAGCTACTTTGCAAAAGGACACTCCCTTTCTACATAACAGGACATTAAAAGCTCCAGCAAGTTATATTTTATAGTAACCTAAATTCAAAAGAAGCCTTTGCAACCCTTGGATGCTTTTTTAAACGTTATAAAAACACCGCATCTATGAAAAGGAATTCAGAAATTGAGATGCTGCCTGCACGAAAATAAAAAGGAGCAAGATTTGCAACAGCAGCCCACACAAACCGGTAGCCTGCTGTATTATGATTTGCATGCTGCAGCTCAGTAGACTTCATTAAAAAAAAAAATAAAGGAAATCAATAAACCTTTGCGAAAAGGCACAAAGCTTCACCAAAAAACAGGGATTCAATTAATACATTGCAGTAACCAGCATGCAATACACCAACAGAATTAGCGAACTTGACAAAGAAAATAAAAAGCCCTGCGCTGCTGCTTTGCAATGCTGCCCCATTAATTGTTCATGCAAGAGCTGTAGCTGTACCTTTCTGAAGAGGACGACTTCTCAGAGTTAACTGACATCAGCAGCTCAATCTTCTGCTTGATTTCTGGAAAAATCAGAAAATATTCACAACCAAGATTGCCTGCCCTCGCTTTCCAAAGTCTTAGAGGGAAAGGATGTTTTCTCCCTAATCCCTTTTGTTCAAAACGAGGCCACAAGATGCACAGGACTTCTGTGAAGACCGATTCAATCGGGCTACGAAGGAAAAAGCTCCAGAGGCATCGGGCCTTGCTAAACTATGCACATGACTGTTTATGAAAGCAGGAAGTACCATTGCTTTTAAGCAGAGGGGGGTTTCCTTTCCTAAGGGGGAGCTGCCACATTTACGAGGCGATTCTTATCGCAGCCAGCACGAACTGCCGCACAAACGTGCGCTGCTAACACAAAGAATTGGAACAAGTGGTTTAGGGCATTCCTGGCTTTTCAGTTTAATTACGTAAGCGGTATTTGCTACCCTCAGAAAGACTCACTTCCAAAGCCCTGAAAAATATGGCTCTTTGAATCATTTTTGTCACAAAGAATGAAGTATTAAACCAGTACTTCGACACACGGCTAAGAAATCACGGACAGAAAACACCACACATACTTGGCATTTTTTATTGCCCCACATTTAATGTCCCTCAAGTTCATTTTGGAAAGCAACGTTGGGTGCTCCCCGGGTTATTTTCTCCCGTATTAACCACTGTGCTCGCCCTCGGCACCCGCCGAGAGGAGGCTCCGCGCGCGGCGCCTCAGCGCGGCCCTGAGGCGGCGGAACCGCCCGCCCGCCTTGGCGAGCGACCAGGCCCCGGCGACCGGGCCGCTCCGGCGGCGGCCGGGAAGGGGGGCGCAGCGGGAACAGGGGAGGCCTGGTGCCATCCGCGGCTTCTCCTTTCACAACAGCACGTCCGAGCGTGGTATCTGCTGGAAACGCGAATCCCCTTCAGCCACTGCCAGAGACCTAAGGGTATACTTTATATCCTTACATGCGATTAAAAAAAATAAAGACTGCTGATTTTCTCACGAATGTAAGCATTGCTTTAAGATCCTGTCACAGCTGGAGATAGTAGTGCCATCTATAGAAATACTGGGAAGGGCTGTGCCAGGCTACGTTCAGGTTTTTACAGCTTAAGTAAACAGCAACCATTTAGGACTAAAGATGCTATGATGAGAGAGCATCCATTTGGCATACATATACACACACACACTCATATATATATCTGTGTAATCCCACACACAAAGTGAGATTTCAGAGATTTCAGAAATCTCTGAAAACTGAAGAAGAGATACTATATACTTTTTTTACCAAATTACAAAGGAGCTTAGCATCCTCAAGGTCTAGTGGAGGGTTTGAAYGTTACAGGGATCGTGTCCTGATTTTAGCAAATATCCCTTGTTCTTCCCAAGCCGTATCCGGCCACATATTCCTCCTAAAGGAACCTTAGGTGTCCTGCTCAGAGCAGCTGCTTCCAGGGCTCTCAGAGGGCTCCTGGAAATTTCCGTACGCCAATGGACGTGTCTGCTGCACAGTCAACCGCAAGGCCCGAGCGCGGCGCACGCGGYGTCGCCCAGCGCRGGCAGTGGGTGCTCATCCCAGGGCAGCAGYGGGTGCTCATCCCAGGGCAGGGATCTCCCCACCACCCACACAGGCACCAAGGGGGCTGCTGCCAAGCCGCAGGGTCCGGGCAGCGCCAGGGAACTGCCCTGTCAATCCCGATTTCCCCGGCTCCCCAGCACCACATTACCCAGCGCACTGCAGCTCTCCTTCAGGCCTCCCGCATCTTCCCTCCGCGCCTCGGTTCTCCAGCTATCCCAAGGGAGGAGGGCATCAACTAAACTCAYTGGAGTGCTGGCTAGGAAAAAAAGCAATCAAGATAAAGCAGGAATAAGTCCCCCTAGGCCTCCTCCAGCCCCAAATTATTTGTGTTCAGCCTGGAAAATGTTTCCAGTTAAGACCTACACAGTGAACAAGAACAAAAAATACTGAGTCACTACTCACTCAGAACCAGACATTTTAGAGTAAAAACACCCTGACATGAATATTATATTTGTCCTGACACGAATATTTAATACTGCCCTGCCTTGACAATCATACTGGGTTTGGGGTTTTTCTAAACATGTGTTTAGTGCAACCTGTGACATTAATGTTTATCATACAAGTTCCCCAATGCACCAGGTATATAGTGACTTTAAAGGTTATTTTGAAGAGATGGACATTATCGTATCACGTTTATCATAACACAGTATTTTCAAAATCTTTATGTTTAGATTGTATGAATGCAGGGCAGATGATTAAGGAGACAGARGAGCAGTAAGGGGTGATTAAAAACATTTGCCACGAGACTCAAGCAGGTAATTCAGAAYACTCAAAAATATTTGTGTGTGTTAGGCTCTATCAACTAGTATAAATGAACATAGAAGTTACAGTACTGAATTTCAGCTTGGAAACTGATAAAGACTGCCTTTAAGATAATTTTAGATTGATAATTCARAAAAAAAATGCTTGACTACTCTCTGAATAAAGACTGCTTCATATKAGACAGGTTAAAAAAGAAAGTATACATTGCCTTATCTTTTTTTCCTAATCTAAACTACCTGTTTCCAAACCTTGCTTCCTTCCTTCCTGCCCCATGAAGTCCCAGGTAGTATCTGCCTTGCACTTTAACCCATCTCAGCACTTAAGGTCAACTCCAAGCAGAAAATAAATATTGACCTACAATATTTGTAACGAAAGAGGAGTGTCCCTGTGCATTTCTAACAGTTGTTTCCACCCGAAAGGCAGCATGGCAACTCTCCCAACAATTCCTCCACCATTTTTACCCACAGATGCCATTCCTTAATGCTTGCCTTTTACCGCTTAGAACCCCAGCTGTTCTTAAACATCCATCTGACTGAAAGGCATTTGTAACATGGCCTGTTACAGAAAACATTGTATATGCAGAGTGACGTACATTTGTCCTCTACAAAACACGATGTACGATTGAAGGCAGGTGGACGTGTGTCCTATGGGTCTTCTCTGCTCCACGGGTGTTCACAGGCCTGAAATCTTTCTTCTTGAATGTGACCCAGTGCACAGAGAGAGCCTGCCTGCTAGACGGAAGTAAATCCCTCTCCCATCGTCCAGTTTCCATTTCTAACCAATACAGACTAGCAACTTTGGCAACTCTAACTTGCCAAACTTATATTAAGATTTGACAGACTTGGATGCACTGTTTTCTTAAGGATCAGCACAMCTGTAATTCCTTTCTGATTCTCACTTTCTACCCTGATCGTATCGGTTCAGCAACAACAGGATGCTTTCTTACACATTCTGCTACCAGGTTTATTTCCTCAATACTAAAAGCTGACAGCTACATCACAGGAAATTTTGTGGCTGGAGGAGACTGAAGGTTTTGACAGCTCTGTTGGAAACAGCTGATCCCTTCAGGACTCTCTACTATCACTGCAGGCTTGGGGGGTTCATTTGTCTGCTTGGGTTTTTTTTTTTTTTTTTTGGTACGAAGGTACCGGCTGAGGGCCTAGGCCCGAGAAAAGAAGTTCTGTCACATTCTGTATTCCGATTGCAGACAGAGTTGGAATTGCCCTACCCATAGATGCTTCACTTCATAGGTGCTTATTTTTATTCCTAATGAAGYTATTTGATCATCTTAAAATTTGAAAATGATGATACAGCCAGAAAGGCCAAGACTAGGACTCGATAGCAAATTAAAATCCACACAGCTTGGAACACAGTGATCAGTAGAACCATCCCGCACACAAGCCTCCAAGCAGGCTTTTCACACTACCTTAATATAAAATGAACACTAAGGTTATTATGATAAAGGTTTATTGCTAACTACACACCCCAAGATGTAAAACATAATATGCAAGATATAAGCTATTAGAAGACTGAAATTTCACAAAAACCTTTGTAAATATGCCTTTGTAAGGCTATTCCAATAAGCATTCTAATTTCATGCTATTCAGTAGTATCCAGAATGTGTTTAATATAAAGATAAGAAGAATTTAAATAAGTTGAGGTAAATCCCAAATAATTTGGGGTTTCCACTTGCTGTAAAGTCTCAAATATATATATGTGTAGATATACCCTTTGACCCTCTGCAGTCAATTTGAGAAACTTTCTTATTTGGCATTTACCTACCCTTTGTCTCTATTAGCTGAGATTTTTGCAAGGGAACTCATTCCCACTATTTATAAAAGCAAACCCATTCTCTGTATCTGTAAGGTCATGTTGTTACTGCCCCTGTCACTTTAGATACAAAACCAATAGCAGAAATAATATCACCAAAATAAAGCAGATGTTTATACTAAGTTCCTTGGAGCCATTGCAGAAGCAGCAATATCATTTGTTTATTTTGATTACTTATTTTATGATTATTCATGATTATATTACACACACRATTTACGATTATGATTATTTATAAATTACATGTCCAGGACACTGGGCAGAATTTACTAAAACATACAATACAATTTTATCCCAACTCAAATACAGAGCCTGTGCAAATAATGGTTACCCTACCACCCACTCAGCAGCCTCCACAGATATAGCCTAGAATAATCTAAAATGCAACTACATTTGTTAAACTCAAAATGAGGAAAAGAAAAAAAAACCAAAGTTTTGTAGCCCAGCAGCTCTCCTTGAAAGTCTCGTGGTTCCAAACCCTCCAGCTTGACTCAGAGAACTCCAGAGCTCGACTTGCGATGAGCTCCAACCAAAGACAGAGATGAGTGTTGAGCCACCCAGGACCAACACCAGCAATGGATTCCAAAAGCACCACTTCAAATGACTTTTATGAGTTATTTAGATAACTGTAGCAAACAGTGTAGCAAACATTATAAAAATACCTCCCCTTACTAAGTGAGCAACTAAAGTGTCTCTGAAGATTTCTGGTCTGCCCTCATTTCTGAGGCAACAAAGAGCTTACACTGTAGGGAGAACCACATCGAAAAGAACAGATCATGCTGGATGAATAAACATAAAAAAAACCGAAGAAAATTAGTGCCTGGAAAACCAAATGTAATAAAATTTCCAAGTTACAAAATAAAAACAAAGGCAGGTATGGAGATTCACTGTCACCATTTCACCATATACTCCATCCACTTCAGCAGCTGCCTCCAAGGAATTTTACACTGCAGACAGAACAAGTGTCAGACACTTGGCTCTCACCCAAGACCTGAGCAAAGCAGATACTGTAAACCATACCATTCAAATTGCAATTAAATGAAGGGAGGGAAGCTCAAAAAGG